GCTTTTCCCTTGATTCTTATTACCATCGATATTCCTATTATTCTTATTATTAGTAATGTGATGGTAATGTTATGTAATGTTCATATTCATTCACTCAGTGAAGTAAGCATGGGCGAAGAGAACGAAGATGCAAGGAATTCATTGTTGGAGGACACTCACGGGATTCACACCGAGCAAGGCTAATATGTCAACTGGAAGTCTAACAGCTCGAGATCTGGAAAGGGCCTAGCAACATGAAGACTGTGCTGCGAAGTGCGGGGTTTGACAGGATGACGATGTTGGGACGCTTGATTCATCGTATAATCCTGCTGGAACGTTATGGGTAAAGTACTATATAGCGAAGATTTCGCAGCCATTCCTAAGCAGCCTAGAAGCCACATCATCCAACCAATGAACTAGTGAACTGATGGGCAACTTGCATGCGCCTCTGCTTTCCCCCTGCAGCAGCTACTTCGCCTCTGCTGGCCGCGCTACCACCCCAACTGCTCTGGGGGCATGAATGGTTTTTCTTGATCCTGGAAGTTCGGCCTAAAAGGGTGGAAATTGTGCATAGCGTGGCGTAGGCTTTAGTGAGGCTATCATCCAATGCCGCTGGACCTACCAGTGGCCTGCGGAGCACGACTGTAGAGAGGGCACTGACATGGTCACCTTTAATACCAGGGTCACAGGGATGGGGCCCCCCAAATCGCTTCCACGTAAGCGTCGTGGACCTGTAGTGCTGTAGCCCTGGCCGCTGGTATAGCTCCCGGAAATTCAACTCAGAATTGTGCCTAAGCCAAAAACACCCTAAGGCTTTCCTGGGTGGTTGTGTTGGCAGCACTGGCTTACTATCTCTTGACCGCGCGACCTGCATGGTTCGTGAACCTCATGCCGGGCGCCTACTATAGCGGCTTCATAAGGGTTCATAAGGTTCAGGGATAACGGTTATACTCATATTATGGCTGTAGGTTTCCAGTACACGAATGGTATCAGGCATATGTTTTCAGATGCCTACAAACCCTATAGATAGTAAACCGAAGGGCAGTCGAAAGAATTTCAATCAAGCAAAGTTAATTGTGGCGCAGAATCTTGCACATAAGCCTGGCGGCGGCAATGCATGGATCAACGTGCACGTAGCTTCTATAAGCGGCGACTAATCAACCAATGCCTCTACCAGACTCGACCGCCCATGCAGCTAATTTTTTTTCCTTCTAGCTGGGGACAAACCTGGGCACATATTGGCAAGGCACTGTAGGGACACTCTGTGGCTGGGCATGTCTCATCTGAGCACTTTCAAGCAAATCCTGGATTGGGCCGCAAGCCACGAAAACAACATGCTGCATTTATCAAAAGCGACCTGGACACCCACGGGTCCTCTGAAACTGATAATCTGATAATCCTCCTGAAAACCAACGTAACCCTGTGATCCCGTGCATGGCCGCCTCGCTCCATCGCCCCATGGCGCCATCTGAGTACGCTCGGGCGTGGTGGTTGCTCGCTACCACCAAGAAACACCCAAAAAATCACGCCTGGGCCGAAATGCTCAGCAAATGACATGTCATGTAGTACTGCACTTGCTGCGTTAACAGCAAAAATCACCTGCGCATTTGCAGGAAATACCACTGCTGCTTCACAACACTAAGTCCCAGCGTATGCCGTGCACCAAAGGCCAGGCGAATACTCATAAGTGGACGCATGACATGCAATTGCCTAAGCTCATGTTGTCCTCATATAATGCTGCACACCCACTTCGGTCTTCTTGAAGTAATGACGTGCCCGCCCTCTCAGGGGGTGTAGATGCTCCAAAATTGCAAAGGGCCACTGGGCTCTTACAGATACCTTCTTGAAGTGAAGCTTGGGAGGGTTGAGCCAAGGATAGAGGGACCTTTTTCAACAATTGGCTTAAGGGATGGCGGCTAGGTGAAGGCCCCATGGGCATCGCAACGAACCACAGCATACCACAGCCTTCCAGTCGCGAGTAGGGAACAGCAAACAAGCTGTCACTTCTTGTATGCACGCTTGTTCATAATCAGAGCGTCAAATCATGTCAAGTCGCTTTTGCTGCTGCCATGGAATCTGGCTAAGACCCAGCCTACTGCGCTGCAGTAGTTTCATCAAGGATGATCTCGAAAACGGACTGCGTTCGGTTGACATCCCCCTCAAACGCATCCCTTTGGTGCAGAACACTTTCGAACTGGGTCCAACCCCCAAAAGCTTGCCTGGTTTAGGTCCGAAATATGGCAGATCATGGCCGCCACTCATCCCACTTCCCCTCACCCTCAGAAGAAAAGCCAGGCCAGATCTTTACACAAAACCTACCCAAGGGTTGGCTATGGTTGGCTCACAGATAGAGCTATGTGGAGGTTGAGATAGATGGCTATAGGGGTTTTGGACGTTCCGTAGCACTCCGAGTCCCTAAGCGCAAGCCCCACAATGCCACATATACAGACTTGGATTTGGAATTTGCCTCTCGGCGTCATGAATGAGTCGCAGGATGATAGCTACACAATGCCATGATTTCGTTTGCTCTATAAGCACAATGTATGGAGGGCATTTTTGGATAGCGGCTTTACGAATGCCACATGTCCGGGAGTAACGAGAGGGGCGAAGGACAACTTACACAGCGGCTATAGAAAACGAATACATCTATAATATAATATGTGTACGTATCGAATGATACCCGGTTTCGGGCCTTTGCAAGCTCTTTACATGAGGAACACGCTCATAGTGAAGCAGGTCAAGAAACAAGAGCCTGTGCAGTTGCACGGGAAGGAAAAGCCAACCTTTCTCCTCGTGCAGCGACACAGCTACCTGACACATGTCCGGGCAGTAGCAAGCAGGCCGGAAGAGTCATTGCACCTGCGCACTGGGAGCTTTATGTTCTGAAGCCCGAGAATTCGCCGAGGGCGGAGGCCTGGGGCAGGTTTGGAGACTAAGAGAATAAGATAGAGCAAGTTTATCCTCCCCCTAGACTGCCCTTCTTTGAGGGGTCTTCGCCAAGATTGCATCTGTCGTGAGAAGGTGCTTGCGGCACCTGACACGACCAACATTATACCCTGATGCCCTACCGCTGCCGCTGAATACTGATCTAGCCGAGCTTGTAACCGAGCAGTGTCCAGTGGCCTCTTGCAGTGGAAAGCATTGAAACTGTTCTCCTCCCATTGGTTCTCGTTGGCATACACAGAGGTCGCGAGGGGACGGCGCCTTCATCTCCTGCGAAGGCAGCGAACAGCGAGGGCAAATCTATTTGAAGTCCATAACAGCACAAACCGCAAAACAATGCGCCTGAGGCTGCTTGGCGACCCGCCAAAGCCACTACGATAAGGTGTTTCATGGTGTTTCTTCGAGCCCAGTGGCTCTGGCGCCGCTGACGCTGGACAGTGCTTCGAGCGGCATCCTTCATTGATGCCTCTACGGACAAGGCACTCTGCATGCTTACTCTTCCCGACTGCATCTACCCCATTAAAAGACAACCAAGTAGTCACCAACCTCCGGGCGAATTCGGTCCCATCAGCAAACAAAGTGCTGCCCGCTTGCTCCGTAACAGCACAGCAGAGCAGTTGCCACCCAGCAAGACCAGGGATTCGTCATCCATCGTAGCGCAAACCCCATCACAACCCAGGCCGTACTTGCCACCAGGTCCATAGCTTGTCCAACACTATGCTGCTTGCCCAGCCAGCCAGAGATGGCGAGAGGTAATAACCTGAGGAGCGTCGCAGGACCACAGTTAGTTCGCTCCGGCTAGCCGATGCTTCGCAGCTTGGAGTAGCGGCCTTCAGAACCCTGGCATCTTACACCAAGGCACCTTCAAGTAGGCAGCCTGCACGTTGTGCTCATATGTGTTCATCCGCTCTCTGGAGACCAGGGAGGGCGTAATTACACGGAGCACTGCAGCTCTGAGAGACGTATTCTCAAGGATCAAATCATCAAATCCATGTGTCGGTGAGGCGTCCTGTCCCCCTGTATGCAGAGGTGCCAGAGACGTAGGGAAACCCACAGCTCTTCAGATCATTGGAACTTGAAGTTCATATTGGAGGGGGGGGGGCTTCTAAGGACGTCTCCTGCAAAGTCGTGACATCAAGCCTGCCTTCAATTCTTCCACAGCCACACTTTCTGGAGCATTCTCTGGCCAACGCGGCAAAGATCGTGCCAGCCTGCACAAACAGGCCCACAGCAGAACAGCCTCGCACTGTCGGGAGCTCTTCGCATTCCGATTCTGCCCTTCAGACATGGAGGCTTTCGGGGTCCAAGGAACGTTTACAGGAGTCTGAGCAGATGCTGCGGCAGAGCAATCAAGTGCAGAGCTGCCAACTCAGCCGCTCACAGACAAGCCCTCCAGTCCTCTGATCACTGTGATCCTGCCCAGTAGCTTAGGTATTTTTTCTTCAGGCTGCGCTTGGATGTCCGCCGGGTTTAGCAGCATGCCTCTGCTTGCCTAGGCCCAGACCACTCAGGCAGCAGAGAAGCTCACGCATGTTCACGCTGAGGAGGTTGCCCTGAAGTCGTTGGATCTCACACGCTCTCCAAGGCCAAGAGGATCCGATCGACCTTGAAAAGGGGAAGAGAGGGGAAGAGATGGGAAGAGGAAGGGAAAAGCATTACAGCACTGAGAGCCGCATCAAGAGAAAGGCATTAAGAAAAGATATTTAGGGTTGCCTCGCTGAGCGTGTTGTAGTGCAAAAGGCCAAGACCTTAAGACTACGATGAACATCTGATCGTCCAGCCGTCTAGCCACGTGTTGAATCTTGTTTTCCGAGTTCGTGGCGGGTCATGCCCTCGTCATTGGTCGCAAGGCCATTGCTCTGTGCCGCCCAAAACCCGGCGTAGTGGTTTCCCGAAGTGCACCAGACTCCCCTAGCCGAGAAATTCAGATTCCATTTTGCAATGGCCGCTGCCATAATATGCCACGCCTATCACAGAGCCTGCTTGAAAGCTCCTGCAGAAATCCCAGGCTGAATAGTGGCGCACGTAGCGCATGGTAGCGCAAAGCTGGTTGCAAGAGCATGCCGTCACAGAGGGTCCTGCGGCGCAAGGCCTTCCTTGGACACGGCGAAGGTGGCTGTTCGATGCGCCGCGCAGGCAGGATCCTCTTCCCCCAGCCTCTGCCAAAGGCGAAGGGAGCCGCCATGAAAAGGACCCTCCGGATAAGGGCCCTGGCAGACGCACTTTCCGGATATTGCGCAAGCCTTCCTTGCGGAGTTGACGCGAGCGTCTGGCTTAACATCATAAATATCTAATATGCCTCTAAGACCTGAGGCCAAGACCAGGAAGCGGCGCTTGAGATCATTCTCGTGGGCATCAATGGCGCCCCAGGCTGGGCACAGGGCTTCCAAGCAGCAACTTGCGTGACTCCCTGGGAGGTTGGGAAACTCTGGGGGCCTGCTTCCAAGCGCTCTGCGCGCGTCCCATTTGGGTCTGCACCACCAAAGCGATGGCCCAAGTCGGCCAGGTAGTTCACGGCCTCAGCCCACTAAGGCCAAAGCAACATCTAACCACCGCAAGAGAGGTCATGCTGCATGCTGAGCGAAGCCGGGGAGGTGGCAGCGGTGACGCCTGACAACGCCTGGCAGTAGGACAAGCTCTCCTTCTCCATGGGGCCGCATGCGGACTGCCTCGTAGTTCTGCGTGCCAACTTCCCATCGGGACATATGGTTGTTCAAGCTGCTGGGTAGCGAATCATCCGAGCAGTCCTGGTAAGCAAAGTAATTTCAGCTTCCAAAGATGTTTAGACTTCTCCGTCTAGAGTCCCAGCAGCCAGCCGGTCCGCCGGTAGAGATTCCAAGAGGCCTCGCCTACCAAAGACAGAAGAATGAAAAAAGCGAATCAGAACGGCTTCAAGAACGGCTGGCGACCACCTCACTACAACTGGAGGACACCAGTGAACTTTGCAGCAGTGTCAGTGTTAGCGCCAGTGAGACCACACAATGCGAGCCGATGCCTTCCAAAGAGGACGCCTGGCATAATTGAAGCAGAGTGGTGCTTGTCCTTTCTGCATCGGCAAGTGCCTGCATGAGGTCCGAAGAACTTGTAGGGGGAGCACACCAGGAAATCGCAGCCTGGGCCAGGACCTATGAAACCAACCTCAACTCGCTATGGAGCACCAAAGCTGCAGGCCAACGCGCTGCACATCAATCTGACCATGCGGGGCATAATGCACAGCCTTGGCTCAGGTTGGGCGCCAGACTGCCGGAGACGAAGCACGCCGTGGATATGAACAAACGTTACTAAACGGCTGCCTGAGAATCGCCCTGTGGGGCAAGGCCCTGAGATCAACATGGCCAAGAAGCATCCACGAGAGTCATCGCTCTGCCCCGTGACAACTCTTTGGCCTTTTTGCACAGAGTTCCAACATCGTGAATCGCTCCAACTCCGTTGGAAGCTGCACCAGCGGCCACCAAACAAGTGTCCTTGTCAATGGCTGCAGCCAGCAGCGAGTCCTCTGTATCGAGCACGCAGTTCGCTTTCACGGGCAACCACCGCACCTCAGCTCCCAGTTTGCCAGCAAGCTTCACCCAGGGCCACACGTTGGCACCGTGGCTGATAGGGTCCAGCACGATGTTGCACTTGCACTTGCTGTCCAAAGCCGGCTGAAGCCTCGGCCGGAGGGCTCTAGCCAGGTGGAGGACGAGAGCAGTCATACTGGCCCCGAACACCACCTCCTCCGCAGCGCAGCCCAGGAACTCGGACATGGCCAGACGCGCCCTCTGGACAGTGGCCTCCGCCCGTTGGCTGGACTCGTATGCGCCGCCAATGTTTGCGGTGCCATAACACAGCTGGTCCTGCAATTCCACAAATGCAGTTGAAGACACTTCATAAGGATGTTGCTGCTAGCGTGCACCCTCTTTTCCACTTGCCTGTCTTGCTCTTGTTTTGCAGTGATGCTTCGAAGTCCCTAATTGCATGGCACCTAAGACCTAAGTGCGGCGCTCTATAAAGGTTGGGCGGTTTCCGGTGATGCAAGGGAGCACTTCACAGGAACAGCGCCTGTTTGTGTATCGACATCGACTCTGATGAGCTCATCCCTTGTATCAGATAGCATTATACTGTTATACAATCATCACCTTGAGTAGTGCTGTCCGGCCATCCTTGCTTCTGGAGCGAAATGGTAGTTGTACAGATGATGCAAGATATGCCTCCCAACTGAAGTCGCATTTATACATAAACAGTGCCAGACACGCCTTTTCCCTTCACTCTCTGTAAAAGTCTTGCAAGAGTCTTGTACGAAGTTTGAAAATTGTCCTGCACGGCCTGGATGGCAGAGGTGTGGAGCTGGGATCCGCTTGCTCCGTCTGCCAGGACAGGTGCGTCATGTGAGTTGGAACGCAGACCTGGGAACTCGCTTCGCACCGTCTCAGCCAGCGAACGGTGGTCATAAGTCTCCAGGGAGCGGACTGCCTCATAATGCGTGGCATGTTCGAAGCTTGGATGGCTGTAGGAGAAGAAAACGACGTCGCGGTTCAATTTCGACGTGTTGCCGCCGCCTCGATGGAGGATCCGGTCATCAAAGACGAGCACGCTGCCCTTAGCCATCTCCGCAAGTACTGGCGATTTCTCTGCTCCCACAAGCTCCGGGGAGTTCCCAGGAGACTGATAAAGAAGCTCCGTCCCAAACTGGGCCCCTTCTCGCAAATGGTTGGTGAGAATATGTGACCCAGGCACAAGTTCTGTGGGCCCAAGGGATGGCACCAGGTCCTGCGTAGCAACGAGGACGTTGAGCAAGTGCGGGCCACGGTGTGCGTCTGAGGCGTGGGGTGAGTCCGCGTGCCAGATCTGCGCCTCACTGCCGGGCGATGCACGCACGGTTCCGGCAAAGGCTCGCGCGGGAGGGCGATGTGCTGCCTTGTCGGAAAGGAGCTCATTTGCAATGCAGTCGATCTTCTGCAAAAGCTCGCCGTTGAACGCCTCGAAAGGGCATGGCACGTCATAGCGACCAGGCGACCGAAGCACCACCTCAGGGAAAATCATCATCAGCTCACTGCTAACGGATGGGCGAAGAACTTGCTTATAAGCTGTTTGTTGGCTGCCCTACCTCATGAAAGCCGAGTCGACTACCCACCGATAACTCCACACCCTTCTCTTGGAGCATGGACAAGACCTCTTGGGTCTTGGAAATGGCAGGTGTTGCGAGCCGATCAAGTTCCTCTCCTGCAAAAAGCCCGTGTAACAGGACGAAGCCATGTTGCAGAATGCTTTTCGTAGCCAAGTCTTTGTAGCCACGTTCTGATGCGTTGACGTTCCATGCCGCACCTTGCGCACTTCCTGGGATGCTGGGTGCTGATGACACACATCTGCACGGGGTCCGGGCTACCTGTGGCCAGCGTCGCCAGCATGGCAATCTGCGCATCTCACGCAGAACTATGGAAGTTGTCTTTGTCACATTGTTCTTAGTGTCCACTCCAAGCCTCTTTGCTTTGCTTTGCTTTGCGTAAATGCCGCTGCGCAGTCTGAGCGGGCTTCACAGGAGGGATTATGCAAGAAGTGAACGAAGCAGGAGATGTTAAAATCCGGTAGGAATGGGGACAAGTTGGAAGGAAGCCCATGCCGAGAATCAATGGAAGCTTGGTTTGTTAGCCGAGCGAATTACATGGCACTATGATCTAGAATCCGTTGGGACTACCTGGCCTACCGCACGCTTTCGAGCTAAACGTTGAGCAGGTCTTACAAGGACATCTTTGGCCAACCTCGCAGCTATGGTTCCTGAGTACTTTAGTTTGTGGGTTTTCAACAGGTCTTCATGCCTTAGGTTCTACTATAGCAGCGCATCTATTAACCACGCTTCGTGCTTGGATCCAAATGTGTACAAGGGCACTCTCCCAAAGTACTGCTGGACGACAGATCAAAGAAGTTATACAAAAAAATTATCCGAAGCCTTGGCCCTTGCCTTCCACTATCTCTGCGTGAAGTGCGGGTCGGCCTGAAATAACTGAAGAAACCATATCTAAACCTGAACCCGAACCCCTGAAGGGAGTGTCGCCCGCACATCAGCAACCCACCTGGAGCCTTCAAATAATGGCGCACTCCAAACATGTACCACGCACCCCATACTCGTGTTTTTGTTAGCCAAGATGGCTTCACCTAAACTTGCCTGATATAAAACATGGGTTCCCCAACATTCCAAATTCCAAAATCTGACTCGATTGCACTAAACTCGATTGCAGCTCGCATCCTCTGAATTAGGGGGGTCCCTAGCATGACTCTTGAGGATTAGGGGATCCCTAATTTCCCAGATGGTTATGATTTTTGCATGGTTTGTTCGAGAAATTCAAGCCTGAATTCTTGTGACTTTACATTGCTTTGACCTAGATTCGATTCAGACTTTAATTAGACTTCAAATTGATGTTCAGCAACATTGAAAATAGGCTGTCGATTAGATCTTAATTATAGGTTTTGGATGGGTTTTTAATAGATGTTAATTAGCCTACTCTGATTACATTGGTTGTAAATTGGTTGTATTTTGATGTTATTTGAATTTCAGTTGCTTTCAATTCGAGCTTAATCGATTTTATTACCATGCTATTGGCATGCTATTGCGGTGTTCATCAAATTTACTCGGTTGTGTATTCGATTTATTCGATCTTTGTCTGATTTTAGGCAATGTCAATAGAATCCTTTTTTATACGCCCCTAATGTTCGGGTCGTACGAAAAAATCTGTATATACATGAGGGGGGAGACATTTCATATTGGCGGGAAAGGATTAATCTGCATCTCTTTCTCAAGCTTGGATTGGAACCTACGTAAAACGTGTGGGTTCCTGACAATAGAATAAAAAATTGGATCAGATACAGAGCAGCTGATCTCTTGATTGAATAAGGGGCGTCAACTCATGCTATCAGTCGTGCCGGTTCAGAGTTATTACACAACAAGCACTGCACTCAGAGAGAGAGAGAGAGAGAGAGAGAGAGAGGGAGGGGGAGGTGCAGACGCTGCAGGAGGCCCTGGCTTTTGTCTCTGAATCTCACCTGTCTTGCTAAACTCATGGATTCGATGTCGGAAACAGTTGACAGCCCGGCTTTGAGCTGCCCAGCATTCACATGCATTGTATTCATGAAGATCATGCCCGGACCCCTGCTTGTCAAGCAGGCTGCATCGTTCACACGTGGCTTAAGAAATGCTTCCCTGATGTATGACATCTCGCCCTTGCTGTGCTGCAACTCCTTGTGGCGGCTTGCAGCTCTGTGGTTGGGCTTGGTTAGGCTGCTAACGTGAGAAGGGTGCCCACATTTTCTGGCCATCTAAGCGGGTTCCTAAGGAGCCCAGAGGCTGGAGAGGCTGCAGAACCTCTCTAATCGAAGGGGATTTCTCACCACGCTTCTGCGAATCGGATCTCCGCGTAGGACCGCTGGGATCCTCTGCTAAATTGTCTGGAACCACTGGAACCACAACACGTGTTGGCAAATCTTGGCCAAGTGTCCATGGGCGGCTTCCCCAAGTTGGAGCGGCTGTGATGCCGGCTGAGGACTGCCTTCTGTTGGGTTGGATCACGAAAAGGAAGCAAACCCCTGGGGCCATGGCAGGTGCTGCGATGCTGCCCATCGTCTGTGAAGCAGTCGGCGATGGCCCCGGTGATGAGGGCTGGGCAAATGCGACGCCAACAGCTAACATGAAAGACACGAATCTGCGGCACATGAGTCTTCTGGCGCCTTTGCCGGCGACATTGCCCGGCTGCGTGATCGTGATGCGGCCCTGACAGCGCTCCCTGCCACGATGGCCTGAAGACACGCCACGGCCCCACGAGAGCTCTAGCGCGCTCCTGAGCTCTAAGTTGCAGGCCGTGCAGTCTTCTGCAGCTGCAGCGCCCAACGCCATCAACCGCGAATCTGGCGCCTGGCTCTCAAACTTTGTCTCAGACTGGCCATGGCAGGCCATGGCCATGGCAGGCCTCAGCCAGAGCTGCGCACAGCAGCTTTCGCTGAGAGGTCTCCACCTGATCGCCCGGCTCGCAACGTGAGTCACAATGAGTCGCGTGAGCGTGCACGGCGGAGGTGTCGCGCGTTGCATGAAGCCTCGCCCAAAGAGAAGCGGATGGTCTCGCTGGAGAACTGGTTGCACCTCGAAGCTGCGAAGCTGCGAAGCATCCAAGCTGAAAACCGAGCAAAACGTCGTGCCCAGGTGCCCCCAAGCCCCCGGCGTGGCCAGCACTCCGATGAGCTGTGGCCTCACGGCCTCGGCTGCCTGCAACCGCAGCAGCAACTCCGTAACTCAAGCAGCCCATCACGCATCTAAGCCGCTAAGCCCTTGGCTCTTTCGCGGCAAGCTCTTCAAATAACGGCTTCGTGGCTTCTGTTTTCTGACCGGAGCGGCTCGCATCAGAGATGCGCTAAAGGAGCATGTTCTGCTGTGCCGGGTCCCACGGTCGCCATTGGAGATCCGCAGTGCTCTGCAAGCATTGCAACAAGTGGTTCCTGTGATGCACAGCTCCACCAACCTTGGAAAACACACGTGTGAGTTGCTTCCAGATTCAGATATTTGTGCTGGTTTCAAATGATCTCGTCGCTGCGTGTGCAGCAAGTATTCCTTCTGGAAGCAGGTGCGAAGTGGCCAGGAAGATTTAGGCCACGTGAATTCAGCCCCTGCATGATGCAGCGGCGACGGCGCCTACTTGGAGTTTAGAAGCCCTCAGTTTGAGCTTGCATTCTTTTCTCTGCAGAGCTTCCTGAGACGGCGGTAAACTCCTAATGGATTAGGAGCATTTCTGCTCTAAAATGATGGGATATCTCAGCCCAAACGGCCTACAGGTACAATTCATCTTGAGCCCGCACGAACTCGACGCTTGTCTTCAAAGGGCAGTCGACAGAGAGCGCGCGAATTATTCACAGAACCAGCCCGCAGCAGTTGCCAAGTTGCTAGAGCTGCTAGGTTGCCCAGACTGAAAGTCACCCTCTGTCCCATGCCTGTGAAAGCTTGGACCAAATGGCCAGCGCAACTGCCAGGGATGGCCTGCAGCCCTACAAAGCTACACTCAGGTGGACAGGAAGGCTCTGAAGGTAGTGCTGGCAGCCTCATCTAAAAGTCAGGCTTTTTCACGGACTGTGATTTTGCTGGGGCGTTTAGAGGAAAGCTCTTTATCCCTTCCCGCCAATATTAAACCCACCCTGATATGAAATAAAGGGTTCGCCAGAATTCCAACATCTGAAATCTGCAATCAAGACTACACATTACGGCTCAGATCCTCTGAATTAGGTCGGGGTCCTTAGCATGAGTCTTAACATTAGGGATGCCCTTGACTTCCTAGATTTGAATTGTTTGTTGATGGCTTTTCTAAAGAATAGATGTGTGTATATATATATATCTTTCTTTCGGTCAGGCTATGGGAGCAGGCCAGGGGCCTGCCCCCGGGCTTATCTCTCTCTCTCTCTCTTCTTCTTCTCTCTCTCTGTCTCTCTCATAATCCGGAAGTGATTTCAATTGGGTTATTGCGACTTCAAACCGTTTCTGATTAAATCTAAATACAATCAAAAAACTAGCAACTTATGCCCATCAGAATCATTCTAATGTTGATCAGAGTGTATTTGCGTTAGATGTTAGTTCGATTTTGGTTAGATGTTAATTGGGCTGATTGCGCTGCTACATTGTTGTTGCATGGTTTTATTTCGACTTTGATTAGATTTCAATTGCTTGTCATTCAACATCATTCAACTTTTGGTTGATTTCAATGCAGTTTTCTTACGATTTTCATTCGAGTGAATCGGCTTTTGTTATGTTTAATCGATTTCTATTCGATTTTGATTGGATTCAATGAGATCCGATGAGATCCCATTCTGTACCCCCCCCCCCAATGTCTGAGACGTACGAGAAATACCGCATCCAGTTTTGAATATGGGCTGCAGTACATACACTAGGGAGGGGGGGCGATGTTTAATATTAGCAAGCAGAGGCTAACCCCA